GCCCATTAATACCTACGTGGATGTGGGACATTTCCTTAAAATTACAGTCTTCTAGCTTCTCAGGTTCCCGAGTTAATGTCTAGAATAATTGGTCTTCGGAACTTGTTTGTGCTCATTCTGTTAAAAAGTTAGCAAACTCAATTAGCAGCCCGGCTCTACTGCCCGTCCTCAAAAAACATTGTATATTAATGCATTAATTTTGCTTTGTACTGTTGTAATACACTATTTCTCCAAAATTTTTATAATTTAATTCACTATTTCTAGTGTAATTATTGTAATTTATTACTGTAATTTCTTGTTACTTTTTGTAATTTAGTGCTTTTTTGTGATTATTGTAATTTAATGTTTTTTTTTTTTATAATTATTGTAATCTAATGTTTTTTTTTTTTGTAATTTAGTGCTTTTTTTGTAATTGTTATAATTTGTTACTGTAATTTATAATTTATTATAATTTAGTGCTTTTTTGATTCGTTTTTTTTTTTAATTTTTTCCTTGTTTCTATACTTCAACAAATGAAACGTATATAGAAATATGTGTTTTATTTGATGAACAAATAGATGTAAATTGGACAATTTTTCATCCTTTTTTTTAATAGCCTCCTCCAGCCGTGCTTATTTCTGATCATCCGCCTACATCCAGCTCCAGCTTTATTCGTCCCTCTTTTGGATTCTTGTTATTGGCATCTTAAGAAAAAACTGTTAAATCTTTAAGGTTTGAATTTTTCAAATTGTGAATTTTAGCGTTTTACCGCAAAAATTCACATTTCTGATCATCCGCCTATATCCAGATCCAGCTTTATCCGTTTCCCCTTTGAATTCTCACTATTGGTATCTTAAGAAAAACCGTCAAATCTTGAAGGTGTGAATGTTTCAACTGTGAATTTTGCAATTTTACCGGACTACAGAGAAAATTCTCGCCCTCTTTCACCTCCAGTCACATCTCGCACCGTCCCCTCCGCCTCCTGCTCCTCTTCCGTGGTGCATCATCCCTGCTGCTTTTCCTTCATTCATTCAGACAGCGCCGGTGCCGATCCATCAATAATGTCAATAAAATGGTGGGGCTGAGTTACATTCAGTGCTTCCTGCAAGCTTCCAGGAAGAACATTAGTCAGTGCGTGATGATGGTGATGATGAGGGCCACCCAGGGAGTAGTTTTTCCGGGGTGATACTGCGGGGAGTTTTTCTATGCATTTTACCTAAGGATTTTTTCCGGAGGGGGAGTTATGATGTTCCTTTGTGCAAAAAGGGATGATAAGGAAGAGGAGGGGAATTTTATCAAATTTCAAGAAGAGATAGAAGGTGGCACAAAGTTTTTTATAGAAAAAGGTAACACATTTTTGTAAATTTTTGAGGCAATAAGAGTGATTTTTAGGGTTTTCTGGAAATCCATATTTTTCGTATTGGAAATCCGGAAATCCATATTGGAAATCCACTACAAAAGATGGATTTCGGTAGCTATGAAATTGAGAACTTTCTAAAAGTTCCTCTGACCATTACCTCACCACATGTTGGTCAACCTGCTGGCGATTCTGACGTTTTTCTTTTCTTCTGAAGAGATTTATTCATTCAGTGGTCCCTCGAGCAGAAGTATACTGTGGCAAGGATTTCGGGATGTCTCTAGTGTGTACACTGAGCAAAATCATCTCGTCTCAGAACCCTTACCACTCATAGACCACGATGAGGTACTTAGTCGAATCGGTGTGCAACACATATATATATAATATATATATGAACAAATATTATTTACATTTAATCATATATGTGTGCATATGTATAGTCAAATATATAATTCCCAATAGTTATATATATATGTATATATGTCCGTCATATATAAATATAAAAATATAAATATATATCCGTCATAATAAATAAATATCCGATATCTGGAATATAAATATATATCCGTCACAATTGACAAGGTCCAGTTGTGGTGCTGAACAGGAATGTATATATGAGAAAAAAAAATGTATTCTATAAAAATTATCATTAATTATCACCCTAATTACGAATGCTTTGTTTCTCAACTACAGCACTCTACCACACAGTATAAATAGCATCTGCATAATATATTAAAGAAGACATGGGCAAGTAGGGAGGAAAGGAAAGAGACCTTCACAAGAAAACTTAGGAAGGGTGCCGGGAAGGGTGGAAAGGGAGGAACCGAAGAAGAT